AAGATTATGTTTTATATTTCTTTCAACTTGAAGAAAAGTTAAGTCTATAGGAAACAATTTTTCTTCTCTTGGTTATGAAAATCCAAATTGTTCAATGAAAAATATTGGGGCGCTAATATTTATTTACATTAGTATTTTCTTGCAAGTGATTCCGAACAATCTGAGTTATTATTTTAAATAAGTTCAAAAAGTGTTAAAAGTCAAGCCTTTAGTTTTAATAAAGCATCTGTAAGGGGAAAAAAGCATTACGAAGTCAATTAAAGATACCCTAGGGCCTTTTGTATTTATTGTATATTTACGATCAGAAGCACTTATAAGGTCATTGTAAATTGTCAACACCGCAATCGTTTCATCAATCAAGATTTTTGTTTTATCTTGTTATCTATTTACTCCTCTATAGCACAATACAATTATTTTAGATTTTACCTATTTCTTATCACTCTGTGGCCTGTTCGTTAGAAATTTCGTTTCGCTCATTTGTTGCATTCTCTTATATAAGATGTATTTTTAATTCATGCTCCAATAAAAAATGAAGACTTCCTAACAATTTTTAGCGGCTATTTTAACTTCTTTTTTCACAAAAATGGAGCTTTGTGGTGCCATCAATGTATAAAAGTAAAATGTTTTCTTCAATTGTAAACATTTTTTCCTCACTAAATAAAATCTTTCGATGAAGGACATTGGTGTAACGGCCAATGAACACTTTGCATCTATCCACTCTAATTATTTTTTAGGGAAGTGGTTAGTCTTTGTCCTGTCATTCTTCGAAATGCACCCATCCTACGGTCACTTTTTATTGTGCCAGACGTAAATCTGATAGAGATTCCCATTTCCCGAGACAAATCTCTGATCTGCATTTTCCAACTTTGTGTAAGGCGATCACAGCTATTCGGATTTCTTTATCACCCCACTCCGTGTTAACTGAGCGAAAGAAAAATACAAACTAATTGGGATTATTATCCTGACATGTAAAGAAAATAACCTGATAGAGGTGAGGATTATCTAAATAATACTCAAGGATGTTTTGTAAAAGTGTTTATGGCAGGACTAGGTATATCATGGATATTTAATAAATATGTTTTTAATTTGTTGTGTACTATATTAAAATAAAAACGCTGCAAATTATTTCACAATGGTTTATTATTTCCAAACAATTATACATCTTAAGTAACATTACCTTCATAGTTACAAAGAAAAATAAATAAAAGATGATTCCAATTATTTGACTAAACCTTCTTTTTTTTAATCATTAGTAATATGCTAAAAAAAAAAATAGCATTTCTTCAGTAGCACATTCAAAATTTACAAACAAAACAATGGATATAACATTTGGAGTAGAATATATAAAAAAAAAAACTGGAGACCATATCTTTGCTCCTAATTGTCGGATTATTCGGACTATATTTTTTTTTGTTTTTTAGGAAATTCCGTAAACTTTTAAAAAACCATATCCACAAAAGTGTATACTTTTTGAGTTATTCGGCATTTAATTTTACCATCCCTCATTAATTTTTGTTCCAGTTTCTTTTCGTTGAAGTATGTTATATAGATAAATTTGAAGGGCGTCGAGAAAATGGTTTTTCATTGAGCGAAGTTTCATTGAAATTGGTACATTCGTTCAGGAGCTACAGTCTATAGCAAAGCAAGTGTTTCGGCCGCCATTTTGAAAATAAAAGGCGGGTAGTAATGTCGATGAAGGAGGATCATCCTCGGGCGACCTCTGATTTTATACCCAAATTTGAAAAAAAATCGGTCCAGTAGTTTAGAAGAAAATGCGCAGACGGTGGACGGACAACAAATTTTTTATTCGTTTTTCGAATTCTACGCATCATGAAACGTGAAACCTCAAATTTTGAGAGGGGGTTAAGTTTTTGAATTTTTTGGTCGATCACAATGGCTGATTATTGAAAATAATAAACCAATAATTTCTTTTTCTGTATTAATTTATTACAAAAGATTTTTGTGATTATTTTATATATTATAGGTAGATTTGGCAAATGTTAAAGAAAAAAAATTGCGGAAACATGTTGGTCTGATCGTCTTTTAGTTTACCGTTACCACTAGGCACTTACGTTAAAGTATGTTTACGATCCCCTCGCTATATTTGGACTCAAATACTTCGAACCAAGTTCCTTTTACCTAATTTTTTTGCTAGATCGGGAATGGTCCCATTTAATACTCAAGTTGACAACTGGAAAGCTATTCGAATAGAGTGGCCAATCTCAGTCTTGAAAACTGTACTTCGCGCTAAAAGGCATCACTAAATCCTTGTTACCACTTTTCTTCAACTCTGGTATTGAAAAAAAGACTGGTTGATGGCTCTTTTTTGGACTGTTGGTGTGGGGTGTGTTGTATTTAGTTAGCCTACATTCCCGTTAGGTTAAAAAAGGACTTGAATTTGGGATGGAATATCCAAGGCCCAACATCAATATAACTATCGGCACCATCAAAATATCGGGCTTGAAATAACGATAGTCATTAATATAAACATTTTAAAGTAGTAGGTATATTACTTTGTCATTTACCTATTACTTTTCCCAAAACATCGGTTTTTTTCCCACAATTACTGATCTGAATTTGATAGAAATTCAGAAAGTAGATCAGTTATAATAAATTCAGAATATTAAGATTATAAAATATTCATTAGAAACAAAAAAACCTAATCAGTAGTAGGTATAAATAATAAAAAATACTACCAGCCTACATTTTACGTTACATCATTACGATTTCAAGGTTGATTAATTACGCTGAACCTGACCCTGAGTTACATTAAAGAGTCACAAGTCAAACCTCGAAGTAAACGTTTGTTTTTATTTTTTTATATCTCGGCGATTTATAAACTAGTGACACCGAAAGGGATTAAGTTTCTGTTATTAACATGTTCTGTTAATTTTATATTGTATCGTTTAGATAAGCTGGAGGGTATAAATAAAGTGGAGTGTTTGAGACACATTTCCCCGTTGCAAGATTATTAAAACATCCTAGCGTCGTCAATATTTACAGAGTTGTTTTAATAATTGATAGTTTTGATAAGGGGATCTTGCATCATTAAGACCAGAGGATTTCCTACGGAAAGTATCGTCCATAACCAGAACCATTTTTTAAAATGCTGCTATATAAAATTTAATTATTAACGTCTTTTCAAAATCCGAGCTAAAAGGGTAATATTGGGTTGGCAAATAAGTCCTTTCGGTTTTTTAGGGTGAAATAAATCTCAATGTATTACAGACATAAAATTTATTTCAATCTACAATATATTGACCATTATTTGATATGATTTTTTCCCATCTTTCCTCTAATGCCATATTCATAGAATGTCTGGAGTTCATTGTTAAAAAACTGATCCAAATGATTTTTGATGTCCTGTTCCTTTTGTAATTTCTTTTCGGTTATGGAGTTCTACAGAGACCGGAATAAGTGGTAGTTGCTTTGGCTAGGTCTGGTGAATAGGGGGAGGTGGGGCAAAAAGTCCCATCCTAGGCTCAATAATTTATTGTGAGTGACCAATGATGTGTGGGGCAAAGCTTTGTATTGGTGGAACACAACACCCTTCCGGCCATTCATAACTCTTCAGGATGCTCTCCAAATTTGATGTTACTATATCCGTTGGAAAGCTGAATTATTGCGTTTCAAAGCCGTATGAATAGTTTTTTTTTAATTTTTATTTAATGCCTAATTAAAGAATAAAGAAACAAAAACTCCTTATAGGTTTTTTTATCTTCATTTGTAGTTTGTTTACTAAGGTACTGTTAATGTCATTATATAGTCCTAAATTCCTTGTAGATATCTGAAGTCGTATTGAAGTTATAACATTTTTTTTGTGATTTTCGAAAGAAATTCAAACATTAAGCCTGGAAACATAGCCGAGCTTGTGCAAATGGTTTTCTGCGCATGTGTGCGACACATTTAGGGTCATAGCAATATCTCGCACTGATTGGGTGGGATTTTGATCAACAATGGCCTGAACATTGCTCGTTTCAATTTCATGTGGGAGACCAGACCGTTGAGCACCACTGATGTCAAAATTTCTTGAATGAAATTTGGTGCGTTCAGCTAAGGCATGATCCCCATCAACGCTGCAAACTTTTCTATGAGCATCTGCAGCACTCTTATCTTTTTTAAAATAATACAAAAAAATGTGCCGATAATGAATGATATTTTCTTCCATATTCACAGTGCTATAGCAAACACAAAACTAAGCTAGTTTCAACAAGAGTTAACATGTTATAGTTGTAGTTGTAGATATAGTTGTTGAGATATTATAAACAATCCACCTTAAGGATTAATTCATCAGATATGAAGTGTATCATAGTGACATAAAAATAAACAAAAAAGCGAAAGAACTTATTTGCCAACCCAATTCAAAGTCTCCTCATCTCTGAAATTGTAAGGAAATCATTTGCTGGGTGTCTTTTAAAAATCTTTTTATGGAATGATATGACTTTTTCAGGAAATTTTTGAAAAAATTTCACTACAATATAATAATTAAATTGTCATGTGCTAGTAATTATTTTGCTCTTGGAACAGTCAGGCGGAACTTAGCAAGACCAAGACCTATTTTGGGCAACACTGCGAACCACGGCTTTCGACAGATCTTTCATTATTCGATCCTCATCCTTTTAGAACTTAATCCTTCCTTAGTCCTTTATCCTTCTCTCAAATACTCTCTACACATTTAAATCCTGCCCATACATTCACTTTTCATCTATCCAAAAGTTGTAAATTGGTGTTTCTGTCTGCATGTATGTAAATCATTAGTTCGATTTAATTGTTACATGTTCCCGTATTTTTCTTAGATTGATTAATATTTGAAAGAGGTTGTATTTATCATAAACAAAGCTCTACATTCACTAATTAAAATGTTTTCCAACGGTACTGCTTAAGCAAGGTACTTCTTATTTTCATCGAAATCTTCGAAAATGGTTCTTCTTCGCCTTCTCCAACTCTTTCTCCAGAATATTCCAAAAGGAGCAGCTGATAGCGAATACGTTTGGAGTATGTGGCAAGGCGAGGAGGCCATTCGTGTTCAGACCTTATCAGTTGAGAATCGTCCGTGATTGAGGCCGGCTCACACGTGATACCGGCTATCGCTTGCGGATTTAAACTGCCCATATCTCTGTCTTCCTTTAGTTCTTGGGTGCAGCTCGTCTCGCCTCAATCGTACGTAGTCCTTTATTAATTTAGTGCATTGGTAGTCATTTATTTATCCTTCTAATTAAATTGTAACAACTTAAATTAATCAGTGTCATTAAGAGTGATTGTTGGGGAATTTCATATTTTTCTGATATAGGAATCTCGTCTTGAACCTGTCTATCGCTTTACGATTAGTATTTAACTGGTAATATACATTTGCCATCTTTATTCAGGAATTATTAATTATTGTGCATAACTGTTGGAAAGTAATTTGTAATATTCCGACTTATTTACCTCAAAAAGAGATCAATTTTCTTGAAGCTCTTCTTAAATATCGGAGTTAGTTAAAGTACCTATAGTGTTTGTTAAAAAAAAATAATTAAAAAATACTGTAATAATTTGTTGTATTATTAATCTTATTATTAAATTAAATTCAAACTATTTTGATTAATTTGAAGTTGAACGGACAGATATATAATTTCGAACTAAATAAATTCATCTATAAAACGTCCTTGTTGGATATTGATAAATAAACTAATGATCAAATTATGAAGGAAAAGATACTTAATTTTTTTACGAAAATAAAATATTATTTTATAGAAATGTAAAAATTAAATTACTTACAATGTTTATGCATTTTTCTAAATAGCAAAAAAAAGAGAGATCCACAGATAAAATTCGAATTATATGCGATTTCGAAATATAAATTGATTTTGTCTGGTGTTAAAATAAAATACACAGTATATATATAAAAAAAAACGAAAAATTGGGAGGAAAAAAATTAATACTTATATGAAATCGAGCACACTGAATGTATTGATTTTTCTTGTCTGTTTTCTTTGCTAACAATTTTGGTGCTATTCAGAAATATTAGTTTAAAAATGACAATTTCCGGCTTTACTTTGAAATTTTCATTTATTTCTTAATGAACATTAAGGTTTATAATTTTTTTAACCATCGAAAGTTGGGTAGAAAAAAATTAATTAAGTGTCAGATAAAAGCAAGAATATTTACAATTAACTGCCAGTTTTCCTCCCAATTGTCTTTGTTAACAACGAATATTTAAAAACAAAAGAGTGTATTAATTAACATTTTTTATTACTAAATATTAAATTTACTTCATCTTATATTTTTATATTATTTGTATTAGATAACGAAAGAAATAATTAAATTACTAGTTGTGGAGAGGTGAGATTGTTTTGCGATATTTCAAATTACTCATAAAAAACATAAATCGCGTGATACTTCCTTACGATTTCAAGGTTATTATATTTTTGATGGATCTGACCTTGATAAATCATTTCTGCCATAAATGAAAGAGACGATTTTCTGTTAGCTTTGTTACGTATTAATAATATCACGATAAGATTAAATTAAAAACCTTTAATAAAGTAAAATTGATAAAATTCGAATTCATAACTTCTCAAAAAAATATTGGGAAATTATAATCCAATTGATATAGATAATTTTTATTTAAAAAAAAAACCTTTTTCAATTAATGCAACTTGCTATGGTGATATAAAGTATAATTTTCCACTATTATAAACATCAGTTTCCACTTTTTTATGCTTGGTTTTTATTACTTATTCTATATTGTTAGTTTCTTCTCGTCAGATAAACTTAGGAATTTTTTATTTGAGGGTTATAAAAATTTATTCATATTTTGTTACATTGTTCCAACTCTTACAGCTGTAAGTGTAATTAAAAAAAGAAAAATTATCATTTCAAATTTCACGATATTGTCTAAAATCATTGTTTGTTTTTTATTATTTCCATTCCCTTTCATTCATTCACCTTTGTAATCGACCAAGATCCAAAAAAATTTCCCTCCTTAAAATTTAATGTTTATGTATCAAGATATGTAGAATTCGAAATTCCTAGGAATCGTCTATTATTTTCAGAATTTTTTCTCAATTCACTATTTATTTCTCTATATTTACATAGATTTGCTTATAAAAGAAATGGATTATTTGTGATTAATTCAATTTAGATTCATTCATTATGTGTTTTAATTAACAAAAAGATACTCTAGAATAATAATCTGATTCATTATGAGTCATTATGTACGAATAAACACAATTCAATACAAAAGAATTTAATCTAAAAATACTCTTCTTAAACAAAGTGAACGAAATCTTTTGACTGTCGAACCGCCAGTATATGTTCAAAACATTTTCGCTATTTATTTCATGTAAACAATAATTAATCGATAATAGTTCGATTAGATAAAACCATCGAACTTTATCTCAAAAAGGCAAAATACATTATAGTGTGTTTGTCACGTTAATTTTCAATTATTTTATTTGATTATCTTTTTAAGTTTTGACGAAGTGTTTTTCATTTCCCTAATATTTGTAGTATTTAAAAAACACTCATTTTTTTATCAGATAATCCAAACATGGTGTCATATAAATATATTTATTCTCAATTTTATAGGGTCGTGGCTGAAAACATGGTTATTAAATGTATCCCGTGTATTTAATTGACTGCCCAGTTGATTTAATTTATTTTTTTTTATGTACTGTTTTTCTGGAAAAAAAATTTTTTTACTGAAACGGTTAAATAAAGTAAAGAAAGTTTCATGATTTTTACATGCTTTTTGGCCTGTTATTTTTAACTTACTTTTCACTGTTGTTAAGCAATGTTTGTAATGCAATTTTTTTATTATTATTATTTGTTTTTAGGGAAATCATTGTCCCAGAATAAAATTTATTTATCTTCCTTTACGTGTCTTTAAATGCAAATTTTGTGATCCAATTACTTTTTTATTATTATTATTTGTTTTTAGGGAAACCAGTGTCTCAGAACAAAATTTAATTATCTTCTTTTACGTTTCTTTAAATGTGAAAACTTAAAATTTGAGAGGGGGATTAAATGTGTTTTTCTTGGTCGAAGAAAAAAAAAAAGTGGAGCGTTTTTCTTGAACATTTTTGGAAAATTTATTTTATCATTTTTTTTTAATAAGATTAAATCTTCTTTTTAATGAATAGTCTGTGGTACAGACTCCTTTTTATCGAATTATTTACATCGGCCTGAAACTTCGTAAATAGTTTCATCTCATCGTAACCTACAAATATTTTATTTACGAAAACTCTTGGAATTGGGGCGTTTTCAATCTGGAGGGGAGCAAACTTTGTCTATTTAATTAGGTATTAAATTCTCCAAATGGCTCAATATTTTTGAAGGCCACCTTTTTTTTTCTTTTCGATTTTGTGGTAGATCCCTCTAGATTGAAAACGCTCCAATTCCAAGAATTTTCGAAAATAAAATAGTTGTAGGTTACGATGAGATGAAACTATTTAACCAAGTTTCAGGCGGATGTTAATAATTCGATAAAAAGAAGGTATGTACCACGGACTAAAAGTTATATTTGAGCCTTTCAGCTTACAGAATAACGAATTCTAATTTCAAAATTTTTTATTATTAATTTTAGTGATATTTCTTACGGGAAAATATATACATTTATTCACAGTTCTATATTTCAACACTGCAATCATCTACCCTGGAATCAACTTACTGCTTGTACAAATATTATAATTATCTCCAACTAGAAATATCACAAAAATGACTGTACTCAAAAAAATTGAAATAAGGGTTAGTCATTCTGTCAACTGAAAGGCACATTTAACAGTAAAATCTCGATTTTCATAGTCTTCCGTTGTACCAATCATTTTATTTCATGCTCGAGAATGCAACAGAATGACTTCGAAAATCTATCCATTTTAATAATAATTTCTATGGATATCATACTCTATCTCAAAATTTGATTAGGTCTTAATTTCTACCCAATGCAATGTATTAATACTATATAATTTTCATGAGTTGTTTTCGAATTGATTGAAATATTCTATCTATTATTGTATCAGTTTATCTCTATTACTGGTTCTTTAAATAGAAGCGATTACTCAATGATGTAAGATTTTTTTTTACATATGTTGTTTGTAAGATTAATAGCTGTTCATTAGAATAATATTAATATTAATAGTTATTTAGAATATTAGAAACAGACAACAAAATACCGCTACTATCTCATAACTTATCTTTTGGCATAAAATCTTTACAAATAACATGGTTTTTATAATTATGTAAATTTTTAATTAATTTATTACAATCCCTGTTAGCGTAATTTTCTAAAGTTGGTTTGGGGAAAAAACAAAAACAATATAGTTTCAATTATCTTATAAATGTTTAAATTTAACACTCACGTTACCGGTTTATAAATTTTATTTTTATTTCTCAAAATGTTTTATTAAAATTTAATTTATTTTTGTACATCCGCCTCTTATCAAATTTAACGCACTACCGTATTTTTTTTTTTTTTAAGTGAATATCTTATTTAATAAAACTAACTTAACATCTTCGTGTGTATTCGGTTTTTTTTTTTTTTTGGTTTTTTTTTTCAGAAACTTTTGAGGATTATTTAATCTAATAATTATAGTCATTTGAAATAAAATTTTGTTTAATACTTAATAATTGGTTTTGTGGCTGTAATAAAGGCCCATACTCTAAAAGTAACATTGGAGCTATCTACAATAAGTATTTTTCTTTAACGGTGTGTTATCTATTAGTCGTAGAATGCAGGGGATAAGATGAACTTCTTTTTTAATTTTAATCATTTCTGATATGAATTTTTACTTTTTTTTTTTTGGTATTATACCATTCCCCATAGAACATTTCAATAAGAGGTTTTATTTGTAAGTTCTGTTGAAGCACTTTATTTAGCCAAAAATTAAATCTAATAAATGATAATTTTACAGTACATTCAGTACATTTAGCTTCTCAATCAAAGGAATCATATTAATCAGGTAATTCGTTAGAAGCACCTGTTAATTTCTAGTTTTACGTAATTTTTTGTTAAGAACTTAATAAATACGTCATTTATTGTTTAAATTGTTCTACAAACAATTTAGGCCCTTTTTGCGTGGATTGTCTCAATTCCGAATGAACAAATGTTTGATAAATTGAAGATTTAAGATTTTGACTTTTAAAAATATTAGTTACCAATGAAATGTCTAGTAACAAAAATG